TGATGCAGTTAGTCACTTCTTTAATGTTTGTTCTTTCTGATGTAAAGTCAAGGTTGTAACTGTTTGTAAAGTCGTGGGGCGCTAAACTGTTCCTTTGAATCCTTTGAATTTTTGATTTATGATAGTAATTACTTGTCTTTCAAATTTGAAGGAGGGTGAGCAAGCAACTTGAGGAACATTCATCATTAACTCCTCCAAAAAATATAGTTTATTCAATAATAACACTGAATATGTGAATCATAAAAGGGATTGACAGCTGATAGGAATAATATGATTGTTAATATGATCATATTCATACAGACACACATCGATGAGACAGTTAGTTAATGTACTTATTGCAGCAGTCTGCATAGATTTGGTACCCCTGCTGGTCTAAGAGTGAGACAAACTCATTCAGTTAAAATTCATTCAATTATGTCTGCCACCTTATATATTTATATTTAAGGCTTTACTGATGTGCCACAATAATGTCACCAAATGTTATTGAGTTAAAATATTAATATTGTGGCTTTCCAAGTTAACATTGATTGATATGACTGCGATTAAATCAGCATATACTTCTGCCAGAGGATGCCACCCCTCAAAATCTCCTGCCACCCTCTTGCCACCCCAAGAATATTTTTCTAGATCCGCCCCTGTGTGGGCATAATGCTGCCTTTTGCAACATCCTACTTGTGTGAGATAGGCTTTTCTGCTGTTGCTGCCATCAAAACGAAATACAGATCAAAGCTGAACATTGAGAATGAACTGAGAGTGGCAATCTCAAAACAACAGCCCCGGTTTGAGAAGATCTGCGAGGGAAAGCAAGCACACACAAGTGATTGATAAGCTATGTGTGGAATAGGAATGGTAAAGTGATGTGATCGTTTGCAACCTGCAGTATAAATAGTTAATTAATATATTTTTCTTAAAAAAAATTGAATTTAAAAATCTACTACTCAGGGAAGAAGGCCAACCAGTTTTAATTAGGCCAAATTAATTCACAGTATCTATTACAATCACTTTTGTTCATGTGTAATTCCATAATAAAATATAAAATTATAGTTGGATCTTTATATCTTATATTATTAGCAGAGAAAATGTAATGTTTTTACAACACAATATAGATGGGAACCGGATTGGGGAGGGTCCCGAAAACATTTTCAATTACCCAAGGGGGGCCCGACTGAAAAAGTTTGGGAACCACTGGACTAGAGTGATGCGATAGGAGCGATTAGAGCGAAGCAAACATTCGCATTGCGTCCGGTGTGAACGTAGCATTACACTAGTGACAGTCAAATAATAAACTGACACTTCGACTCACTACAGACCTAAAACCTCCAATAAGAGAGGGGAGTGAAGCTTTAAAGATTCAAAGGGTTTGTTTTGGTCATATGCTCAATAGCTACAGCGTATTTGTTGAACGAACAGTGCACCATACAATAAAACGTAAAAAAAAAGAGACATCAAATATACTGAAAATGGTTCAAGTGAGATGCACAAATGAGAAAAATATGCACTTATAAAAATAGAATACGATGAAACTAAATATACAATTAAACACTGAAAAGTGGAATAAATACAGTTTACTGTAATAATATATAAGTATCGGATATGAGGACTATAAAGAGATGTAATTACAGTATGAACAGTATGTGATGACCCTTCCATCCAGGACATGGTTAAACCATACACCCCAGCACGTGCACTCCGCTCTGCATCGGCCAAACGGCTTGCTGCACCCGCACTGCGAGGGAGACCCAAGTTCCCATCAGCAAAAACACGTGGGTTTGCTATCCTGGCTCCAAAATGGTGGAATGAGCTCCCCATTGAAATCAGGACAGGAAAAAGCTTACACATCTTACACAAACTCATCTTTTTCGACTCCACTTCGAGCGATTTTTTAAAATCCGATCGCTACATTTAAAAAAAAAAATCTGTTCCTCAGTGTGTGTTTGGTGCCGCCCTGCCCTCAGTGTGTGGAGTGGAGATGTAATCACTGAGTCATACCATGCCCCCCCCCCAGGATGAACACAGGTTTGACCTTTCTCCCCTATCAGATCACAGGAGGTTAATCTTCTCTTCACAAGTCCATTCAAATTAATCATTTACTTTAGAAAAGGACATTTGTAGAAGCGTTTGCTACTAGTTTTTGCATCAGAGAACCAGCTCTGCTCACTCCCCCATAGCCTCATTAGTGCCCCTCTAAATATACCCGTGGTGAAATTATGAATGAGGAATGACGAAGTTCAGCGCTGTTCCAAATAACAAATTAATTATTGATCCCAATTAGCATACTTACACTGTTACTGTATCTAACATGCAGTGTTTAATTACATAATGCATGAAGTGTAGTAAACAAATAATTGGAAGTGAGAGTGGGGGGGCGGACTCTTTGAACACCAACAGGAACTGCTGCAGATTAATAGGATCCTAACTGGCACACGGCACAATTTATAGACCAACATGCAAGATTTTATGACCCAAATTGTGTCCATTATTAAAAACTGCAACATCTCTCTCTGCCACTGCTAGCCTATTTATGTCATCCAGTTTCCATGGCTACCATGCTATGGATACAATTTAAAGCCCTCACAGGTTTCCAAGTGCAACAACTTTCCCTCGCTATAGGAAGGGGGATGACATTACAGCCCAACAATCACTACTTGAATGAAGATTTATTGAAATGTTAGAAAGGGAGTTAAACAGAACACTATCTACATAAACCCAGAGAATAAAAAAACTGTTAAAGATTACACTGAACAAACTGAAACGTTGACTGTATAAGGTTATCTGAAAGCAATAATATCAAGTTCAAATAAAAAAATATTGGGTTCAACTTAATATTATTGTTTTCAACTAACCTAATCCAGTTATGTTAAATCTATTGACATAACACATTTGATTAAAGTCAACGGTTCAGTTTCTTTCAGTGTTATCTTTAACAGTTTTTGTTTCTCTGGGTGATTTTTAGTCATACAATTATAGATTTGACCTAGACTACTAGTACAAAATCTAGCTCTACACATGAGTTACAAGACGACATTGTAGTTTCATCAGTGCTTGTGGAAATGAAAGCTGACACACAGTGAAATGGACATGTTCCTTCCTTCCTTCCTCACACACAAACACACCGTCGCCCTTCCCTCGCAGCCCGCGCGTGGCAGACCACGCACTGCAGGTCCTCCTGAGAACAAAAGGGCTCAGGACAAAGCTGGCAACAATCCGCTGTCTTCCTTATTTCCACAGTTCAGGGAGGGCAGGCCGCACCACACACAATACCTGCTGCAGAGGGAAGATGACATCATTCCTCCACCATCAAGTGACTCATTGTTCCCCATTTAGCTATCGACTTCAAACACACAGGAAGAAACAGAAGCCTTTGCCAGCAGAAAGCTAAGATCATTTTTAAACCTGAGATGTAAACCAGAAGGAGCCGGAGCTCTTTTTACAGCCAACAGTCAAACAGGTCGTCCTCCTGGAGGCCAGACGGCTGATGTAACTGATCTGTTTCTGCATTAGAGAGATCCGCAGTGTTCACACATCAGTAAAGTAGGTCGTGCTGGTCGGCAGGACATCCTAAGGATTCACTTTGATCCCAGCCATTGATATACTGAGGATGTATGCTTCTTTGTCTGAGAGAGAAACTGCTCCTCTGCTGGAGGCTCAGCGCCACCTGCTGGCTGAGGGGGGCACTGCTGTCTGGGGGAGCAGCACACAGCAGTGTTTGCAAACATACATCAAATACATTACTAAGATCAATACAATAACTAATTTGATGCCTTGATTGAACAAGAAAGTGCTTTGTTTTAGGGAAATGTTATATTTTATTAAAACCTATTTCTGCAATGAATCAGCATTTTAACCCATCTGTAGCTTTAATTAAGGAGTACTTTCTCAACAAAATGAGCATTCATCCATCATCTACTCATCTCGTGTCCACTTCATTTGTTTTTTGTCAGGCTTCACGTGAATATCACATCTGCTCTTTTGCAATTGGACAATTGGTTAAAAAGAGAGTAGATTTCACTGTGTGCACGTGTGACTATTTCAACTCCAACTCATCCTTTTTCATAACACATTTACTTTTTAGGAATTCTGCACAAACAGTACCAGCAGACAAGTAGTGCAAGACTTTTCTGCATTTTTGGGTTCTTAGTTCATCATAGACACATGCAAGGAGAATAAAACATCTTCACAAGCAGCGGGTAATTGATATACAATGATCATTTTGTGAGGACCTTCTTCTTCAACCTTTCTCTGATCATCACACGCAGTTCTTACTAGGCTCTCCATAAAGGACCTGGCCTTCCAGAACATGGAGACGCTGTTAAGTGAAGCAGAAAGTTCAAACAGACACAAGGAGTCTTTTCACCATTCAGTTTATTTCATAATGCCTTCATCACTGCTGTGGTGTGTGCTAAATCCATGATCAGAAAACTGAAGCGGAGACCCGATGAAGATTACTTCTGCACAGAAACACATTTAAAAGTAAGACTCGTCAAGTCTTGACATTTTAAAATGAGTTTAAATGAGAAATAAAATGTGTACAGGACCAGACAAAGCTAAATTGATTGTGCAAAAGTATTCTTGGGATATGAGACCAAGAAAAGAAAACTCATTCTTTTAGAGTAAATCATAGTCGCTTCTCACTCCCTCCAAGAAGTTCATTCAAAATCCATTAAAAGATATCCTCTTCTTTTATCCCCACGACATGTCAAATAAAACAAGCACTTAAAATGCAGGCAACTTCTAAGGCAACATGTGAACTAAAAACAAACTAGACACAGTACGGAGGTATACGCTCCTCTATTTGTCCGCAAGGGCATCCCCCACGAGATAAAATATTTCCTTGCGCAAAAATGACACAAGAGCTATCATACAAAGTGAACTACTGGATAGAAAAGACGAAAACATCTACACGCAAAAACAATACAGAAGTGGAAAGGGGAAGGGGGTCCGCTGTTAGCTCTGGGAGCCAGAAGTAGTTTGAACAGCATGAGGAGCTTTTCAGGTCTACACAAACCCCAGCTTTCCTTTATCAGAGACAGGAAGTACATGCCTCTCTGACCTCAAAACCTGAGGGGCACACGCGAATCGACTCATGCTCACGATTAGAACAAAGTCGGAGATAAATGTGTTGATTTAAGGGGTGGGGGGTTTGCTTATGAGGGAATCCACGTGTCCACACATCCTCAGGGATCCTGCACATTGTTCACTGACCAGCCTTCGTCTTGGTTTTCACATCGTGGACGACGAGTGGCTGTCCAGAGCAAACATGTAGACACACTCATCAGAGGGGGGGGGGGGGCAGTGATTGTTTGGTCTGCGCTCACCGAACACACTGTGAGGATGTGCAAATGTTCAGAGGACGTCACTTCCTGCCCCACCGGAGCGAGGGTCTTCAACATGCAGGACACAGTGCAGGTCTCCGACAGAAGTGTGTGTGTGTGTGTGTGTGTGTGTGTGTGTGTGTGTGTGTGTGTGTGTGTGTGTGTGTGTGTGTGTGTGTGTGTGTGAGTGAGAGAGAAGCGTGAGGGGGGGTAGTGTTCGGTTGCTGGGGTGAGGAGGGGGAGGGGGGTTAGGAGTTCATTTGTCTCCGCCTCATCAGGACGTGCCCTGTCTCTTCTGTTGCTGCACCCGGATCAGATCCAGCTGTCTCTTGCACTTCTGGTAGTAGGTGGACAGGCTCTTGTTCTCCTCCAGCAGCTTCTTGTGCTCCTGCACCAGACGGGACGTGTTCTGCTGGTCCTTCTCGTCCTGGTCCAGCTCAGCGATGAGCTCCTTCCTGCGCAGGGGACAGATGTAGAAACATTACCTCTCCTGCGTACACCTGACTTACAGATCACTACATCAGGATATCAATTATTTATCTTCTCAATTTGAAACAATACCCACATTCCGGCAATAGACAGACTTCCTTCCACTTTCATATTTCCTATTTTATTTGACCACACTCAGTTTCTTACATATTGTCTTTATTTTTTATTTGTTACAATAGTCTTTAAAATTGTTTTTATAATAGCATACATTTCTCCTCTTTTTATTTGATACGGTATTCTTCAAAACATGAGTATTGTAGTATTTGGAAATATGAATTTAAACAAACAATGCAGCTTTTTGGCAAATAACTATCTAAAATAAATTACATTTATTTGGAATAAATGTTAGTGGTTTAAAGAATAAAACAAAAAAGTTAATTTTATTTAGAAACATACAGCTATTAAATTTAAAACTAGAGAAACAAATCATTTTTAGATTTTCTGGAGCCTGTGATTAGTTTGCTTTGTTCTGTACACTTCTCTGGGTGGGGGGCCGGTTATTGTGCTTAGAGGTGAACTGGAGGAGCTCAACACTGACGTGGATCAGATGGAGTTTAGATACTATGAGCTGCTGGACCTACTTCCTCTGGATGAGCAGGGCGATCTCAGTCTGCACCTTCAGGTATTCCTGCGCCATCTTGCAGTGCTGCTCAAACACAGCCATGGACTCTTTGGAGTTGGGACAGGGAGCGAGAGGCTACACACACACACACACACACACACACACACACACACACACACACACACACACCACACACACACACACACACACACACACACACACACACACACACACACACACACACACACACACACACACACACACGTGTATAGTCTGGGCAGATAATAACACAGCAGATAGCTCAGAGATGCTGCCAATGTGTATTCGTATTCACACTCCATTTCCATGGTAATCCCTTCATAATGAAGTCATTTACAATGTCCTTCAATTCATCGCTGGGAGTGAGGAGGGAACGCCACAGTGAAAGCTGATGCAATGCTGACAATATTTCAGTTATTAAATATCAAATGAGTTTCAGGTGTACCTGCAGCTGGTGATCCAGGGTCAGATAGGCCATGGGAATGGAGTTGTCTGAGCCGTTTGTGTCTGAGGACAGAGAATCAGAGGGGGGGGTTATCTTCAAGACACGATTGCTAGCAGTCCACACATTTCTCCTCAGGAATAATCTCCTGGGTGACTAACAGGAGTGGCCCCTGTCAACCAGTCAGCTTAGGGGTTGAATTCAACATTTTCATAAAAAACTGTTAACAAAATACCATCATGGGCTTTTAACTATTTGTTTCACAATGAGAACCAAGCAGTGGATTGCCTGAAAGAGCCACAGTACGAACACTCAAGCATAGACCTCAAGTCACGTATCTTCATCCTTTTATGTGTACAATGATTACAAAGTAGGCTGTGAGTAGAGTTTGTTCTTGTTAGAAAGCGGAAAACACTTACTCTAAACACATTTAAGTTAAATGTAAATGTTGGGAAAAACATTTTTGGGTGAAATTGTGATATTCGATCATTGACTCTTCTGATCACCTGTAGGGTCATCGGGGGAGAAGTACCCTCTGCTGCTGGTCTTATCGGGGGGCATCATCCTCACACTGGGACTGGAGGAGCGGCTGCTGTTCCTGCTCCCCTGCAGGAGAACACAAACATGAAGCAAAGCAGTCTTCTAGTCATGCACACTTGGAGGCCAAACAAAGCTTACAGAAGAAAATGAACCATGTTTTTGACTGTTAGCTGAGGAGGTGAATGTCTCCATGACAGACTTCATGCCATCAAAGTGATGTTGTTGGAGACTGACAGCTCACAATGTCACAGTAGGAAACAGGACTGACATTTAAAGGTTGGTCCTGAACATTTCAAGGATTTATGTAACAGCTGAAGTTCCTCTTTTGAAATCAAACACCAGCTGCACATTTCTCCAAAGAAACCACGGCCAGAGCTTTTTGTTTAATATCTTTATCTCAAGGATATCTTGACACTGGATCACCACTTTTGTAAGACAGACTATCTTCTCCCTTCTTCTCTTTTTCCATTTGGGCTTCTGTATATTTGTTTGACAATGTTTTTCACCAACTGCAAGATATCTGCTCTCAGACTGTGCTTGAATGAGCTTCACTGCTCAGTCCAAGAGCCGCAAAGAGAGGAGAGTGCCCCTCGGCCGTTGATACAAGTACCACATGAAATGGTAGCAACATCAGCCAATCTGCTCAAACTGATCGGCTTCTGGATGTTTGTTATTACACTGTTGGTCTGAGAGTCACCACAGAGTCAGTCTGATTTCTACAGTAACGTCAGTGGCACTTTTCTGTAAAGTTACAAAATGTTCATCTTGAAGTGATCCGAGTGGCCGCACAAAAAGGGCTCAGGAAAAGGAGGCTGGGTGCAGGCATGACATGGCATGTGGTCACAATTGAAGAAAGATGCTCTCAGAAGAAGGCATGTGAAGCTCAGAGCCTGCAGGTGGCAAACCACATCTGCAACACTAAATTGTGGAATGTACACCAAGTTGGATATTGTCCACACACAATAGAAAATAAGTCAATTTTCCAAATACAATGCATCCAACAAAAAGATGACTGAAGAAACATGTCTGGTATAATAATGACAAACCAAACTATGAAAATTCTAAAGTCTAAAATGCAACAGGATTTTAGACTTTTTGTATACAGAGAAACTACAAATTCAACCTGAGGTGAATCTGTTACACAGTGATTCAGAGTAACTCTCCATATGGGAACAGAAGCAACATGATAACAAAGCAAATTCACAGCAACACAACTCCATGATCAATGGTGCTGTCAGAGCAATGGGAACCCCACGGGCACAACAGCACTATCCATCTTCTTTCGGTACAAAGTCGTCATGTTGAACTCTCAATGAACTTTTTAATGCACAGGGTTGTGAGTTTCCTCCTAAACAAATGGAGACTAATGTTTGGGAAAGCAGGAGGACTCCTCTGAAGCAGGGATCGTATTCGAGGCTGTGTGTTTGAGGAGAGCGCACTGATGTCTTCATCTTCTTGGAGCTGACATATCAAACAAATGTCATCCTGTGGAACTCTTTCTCCCACAGGATCTTTCCATCTTGACAAAGAATGCATCAAATATTGGAGAAGATGGCATCAGTCAAGAACCCACAAGACAGGAGGAAAGTTATGATACAATAAAATTCTTTGACTGGGTGCTCGCAGAGTTCAGCTTTTTATTTAGAATTACACAAAGAACATTGGTATTAGTTATGATCACATTTTATTCCAGTCCAACTGAAATCACCACCAATCCCTTTTAGAATTTAAAATAAGTGTTATTTAAAGCTCTCTATGCCTCATGGTGACCTTTGATTGACAGCTGTACCAGCATGAGAGACAGTAACTCATTTCTGCTGTTAACTGTACAGTAGTCTACAAGAAATGAGTATGGGCTCAGAACAGTCTCATAATACACACATGCACACAGAAGGATCCACACTTGTGTTTTTCAATGCACACACAAATGTGTTCCGTTTCATATACATGTAAATAAAATCCAAATACAGAAAAAAGTTTTACATTTGTATTTTTGATCCTCACATATTTGTTTTCCGTTTAAATCCCCTGAACCTGCAAACACAAACCGCTTTCTGTGCACGGATCGCTGTACATTCGTGTGGGTTTTTTGAGGCTCCCCTGACGGTCAGCCGATTCGTACTTGTATTTTGTTCTACCTATAGCCAATCAGATGTCTCCTCAATTCTAAGCCAATCACATGAGCGCACCCCCACGAGGGTAGATTTCTTGCATTGCGCAACAGCATGATGGGGTGCGCAGTACTAGTAGAGAGAACCAAATATGTAAAGCACTTTTTTGTTAATGTATGATTTAATAATTTTTTTTAATAAAACAAAAATCCTCTGTGGTACCATATTGAAGTATCATTATTTTTGCATCGGGTTGAATCATATGGTATCGCCCCGAATCGCATAATGTTGAATCAAATCGTATCGAACTGTATCGTAACGGGGGTGAATCGTATCATATCGCCTGGTGTTTCAAACGTATCGTTAATGTATCGTATCGTGGCAACGTATGCATCGGCCTCAGTGATGGAGATGCGCATCCCTAGTATCCAGTGGTGTAAAGTAACTAAGTACATTTACTCAAGTACTGTATTTAAGTACAATTTTTACATATATTATTCTGAAATAATATTCTGAAATAATAACCCTTGGACCGATCTGCACAATGACTTTTACTTTTGGAACTTTATGTATATTTTGATGCTAATACTTTTGTACTTTTTCTTGAGGAAAATGTTGAATTCAGGACTTTTACTTTTAACAGAGTATTAATACACTCTGGTACTTTTACTTAAGTACAAGATCTGAGTACTTTTTCCACCTCTGTCCGTAACTGGATGGAAATTGACTTTCAAACAAATTGAAATCTAGCCTGGCTGGGTACGTACACGTTAGATTGCACATACAGTGGGGCAAAAAAGTATTTAGTCAGCCACCAATTGTGCAAGTTCTCCCACTTAAAAAGATGAAAGAGGCCTGTAATTTTCATCCTAGGTATACCTCAACTATGAGAGACAAAATGAGAAAAAAAAAAAAATCCAGAAAATCACATTGTCTGATTTTTAAAGAACTTATTTGCAAATTATGGTGGAAAATAAGTATTTGGTCACCTACAAACAAACAAGATTTCTGGCTCTCACAGACCTGTAACTTCTTCTTTAAGAGCCTCCTCTGTCCTCCACTTGTTAACTGTATTAATGGCACCTGTTTGAACTCGTTATCAGTATAAAAGACACCTGTCCACAACCTCAAACAGTCACACTCCAAACTCCACTATCGCCAAGACCAAAGAGCTGTCAAAGGACACCAGAAACAAAATTGTAGACCTGCACCAGGCTGGGAAGACTGAATCTGCAATAGGTAAGCAGCTTGGTGTGAAGAAATCAACTGTGGGAGCAATTATTAGAAAATGGAAGACATACAAGACCACTGATAATCTCCCTCGATCTGGGGCTCCACGCAAGATCTCACCCTGTGGGGTCAAAATGATCACAAGAACGGTGAGCAAAAATCCCAGAACCACACATTTCAAGGTCCTGGAGTGGCCTAGCCAGTCTCCAGATTTCAACCCCATAGAAAATCTTTGGAGGGAGTTGAAAGTCCGTGTTGCCCAGCGACAGCCCCAAAACATCACTGTAGAGGAGATCTGCATGTAGGAATGGGCCAAAATACCAGCAACAGTGTGTGAAAACCTTGTGAAGACTTACAGAAAACGTTTGACCTCTGTCATTGCCAACAAAGGGTGTATAACAAAGTATTGAGATGAACTTCTTGTTATTGACCAAATACTTATTTTCCACCATAATTTGCAAATAAAGTCTTTAAAAATCAGAAAATGTGATTTTCTGGATGTTTTATTTCTCATTTTGTCTCTCATAGTTGAAGTATACCTAGGATGAAAATTACAGGCCTCTTTCATCTTTTTAAGTGGGAGAACTTGCACAATTGGTGGCTGACTAAATACTTTTCTGCCCCACTGTACTGTACATCCTTCTTTTCTGTAGAACAATGTTAAAAACGCCTCTAGAGAGAAACTCTGCACTACATAAGTAAAGTATAGTCAAGGATATAAACATCAATACACACAGACTGAGTGACCCTCCCTGTCTTAGCGCACCCCTCCGCAGCGGGCCTGGTCTTACCTGGCTGGACTCTGAGCAGATGCCGGGCAGGTCCTGCACTGAGCGCCGTCTCTGAGGCTCGCATGTGGCTGTGGACAGGATGAACAGAGGACAGAGGGTGAGAGCAGTGGAGATGGCAGATAGTGATGGTGGGAGATTGGTGCCCATGTTTGCTCAACACATATCCAGGCTCACCGAGCGTCACAGGGACAGCTGCACTGATTTAACCCTGTAGGTCCTGGTCTGTCAACATGTGCTGTGGCATGGCTACAACATGACCACAGCGCTAAAAACATCCCGCCACACTGACAGTGAACTGCAAACATACACACATCACCGTACCACACATGTCAAACTCCAAATCTGGCTTTTTGATTCATTTGGTCTGAAGTTTTGGCCTGAGTAGATGTAGCAGAACTTGCATCAAAGAGAATATGTCATGACATTACATAAAATGTATCATTATTCATTATTTCTTTATGTCTGGTCGCTAGAAATATAAGTCTATGTTACTTAATAGCATTATATTTAAGTCGGGTAAATATATATAATATTTGATTGATTGCAATTTTTTTTTTTTTTGCAATTGTTTGTATTTTATGTGCGTGACACACAACCATCGACATTGAGTTGGGAGTATGTAAACCAATTTGTAAAAACGTTATCTGGAAGCAATTATCCATCTGTTTACTTTAAGTACTTTAACATCTTTAAATGTTTTCATGCCATGATAGTAGGAATGTTGACTACAGTGTATTACTATAAATGCAACTAAACATTCAGCATTATTTTTTGATCATAAATCTAAGTGCTTTTGAGTTCGATGGTGCTTATATTTCTCAATCTACAGTATAATATGTTCTACTGAAGCCGAAACACAAACACACATAAGTAAGGCATACATAGTTCCTACATTATAGCAATATTCAACATCAAGTCATGTGGATTGCACATTTGTTCCGATTCCCCAACCTCTACACGACCTAGAGTACATCGGGTGGATTCCACTAACACTAGGCTTAATATAGGCTCTGTCTAAAAGAAACAACACACAAACAAACACAAAGGACTGAGCAGATCTGTCTATTGGAATTCATTTTTCATGAAATAATATTGAATTTGTATATTCTCTGATTTAGTTTTGTATTCAGATAAATGCACTTTAAATAAAATGAAGTGAAAAATTCTAACCTCACAGCCACATGTTTCCAGTTGTTGCTCAATGGCAGGGGGGTAACGGTACATGCATTAGTCCAGCATCAGTTCCAGATGTTTCTTTCAATATGTGACTTTCTTAAGTTTGTGTATCACTAATATATTGTACCTTAGCCTAGGCCTAATGTATGAGGAACACATTTAAGAGAGAATTCTTCTTGGAAGCTTTGGCAGAAGGACAGGATATATGTGTTTTGTGAATGTTGGACTTGTTTTCATCACTCTTGCCACGTCTCTCAGGTGTGTGGTGTCACACAGGCAGCGCTGCTTTACTGCCAGCTCTTTACTTAATAAGCTTGCTTTTCATAATGCTGGCTGGCTATATATTCATTGATATAACTGTAAGTAACCTCACTTTCACAACACTGTCCTGCAAACATTTTGACAAAAGTTTTGTGTTAAAGTTATTAATTACAAAAACCCTGAAAGGCTTTTATGTTGAAATGGAAACAGGAAGTGCAGATTAAAAATGCAATAATAAAAAGTATTTCACGGCTTTGACATATAGACATGTCACTGCAGTATTGTTGCTGTAAGATCTCAAAATACTGTGGAAAGTTCCTCTTCAATGTTTACTTTTGCTTTAAACAAGATGACAAGCAGTGAGTCTTTGAAACTGTAAAGGAGACGCAGGCAATGTGGAAGAGGTGAAATAAATAACCAATTATCTATCATTTACATAAAAAAAAAAAATATATATATATTTTATCTTCTGCATTGTTTTGTTTATACCTTAGAACTGTGCATTTGACATACCGTTACACCCCTCCTTTATGACCACCAATGATGTATTTGCTTGGTAAAAGACCAGGTGTCCAGGTGATGTTCCCTACCGTTAACAAATGCATAATTTGACTTCCTTATCAGTGGATAAAACTGGCCACAGATAATGTGTCTCACCCAGCTCCAAATAAGACACTTTTTTCAGGAAATCCAGAGCTGTCCCCATTCCTCTCACCCGTATCTGCTTGTAATAATAGCTTTGACCCTCATGTGAAAGAAATTAATCAAAAATGACTTTGTCAAAGTTAATGGATGTAAAAAGAGCAAGAGGGGGAGAAAAAATAGCCAAGGTTTCTCAAAGTCCTTTATGCATGAAAGGCAAGGACAAGCGGAAATTCAGAGAACTGGTGCACTGCAAAGCCAGAGAGGGAGGAGAAGACAGAGCCATGAGTTAGAGGGTCATCTCATCTGTGTCACCTGATCCGATGCTATACACTGATTGACAGGTGACACAGATGATGGGAAGACATCGTCACTTGAGAAAACTCATTTTCTCACCAGATTAACTCATTAACTCATTTTCTGCCTTCTATAAACACAAAGACATAGAGCATGTGTGTTACTCCAGGACCAGCTCAACTACAGGACTGTCTCAGAAAATTAGAATATTGTGATAAAGTTCTTTATTTTCTGTAATGCAATTAAAAAAACAAAAATGTCATACATTCTGGATTCATTACAAATCAACTGAAATATTGCAAGCCTTTTATTATTTTAATATTGTTGATTATGGCATACAGCTTAAGAAAACTCAAAAATCCTATCTCAAAAAATTAGAATAGTTCCTCAGACCAAGTAAAAAAAAAAGATTTATAACAGCAAAACACAATCAAACATTTGAAAATGTCCATTAATGCACTCAGTACTTGGTTGGGAATCCTTTTGCACGGATTACTGCATCAATGCGGCGTGGCATGGAGGCAATCAGCCTGTGGCATTGCTGAGGTGTTATGGATGCCCAGGATGCTTCAATAGCGGCCTTTAGCTCATTAGCATTGTTGGGTCTGGTGTCTTTCAGCTTCTTCTTCACAATACCCCACATATTCTCTATGGGGTTCAGGTCAGGGGAATTTGCAGGCCAATCGAGGACAGTAATGCCATGGTCAGTACACCAGTTACTGGTGGTTTTGGCACTGTGGGCAGGTGCCAGAATGCTGGAAAATGAATTCCTCATCTCCATAGAGCTTTTCAGCGACGGAAGCATGTAGTGCTCTAAAATCTCTTGTACACGCTGCATTTACTCTGGGCTTATGAAACACAGTGGACCAACACCAGCAGCTGACATGGCTCCCCAAACCATCGCTGACTGTGGGAACTTCACACTGGATTTCAAGCAACTTGGATTTTGCTCCTCTCCAGCCTTTCTCCAGACTCTGGCGCCTTGACTTCCAAATGAAATACAAAACTTGCTTTCGTCTGAAAAGAGGACTTTGGACCACTGTGCAACTGTCCAGTGCTTCTTTTCCTTAGCCCAAGTCAGACGCCTCTTCCGTTGTCTTGAGTTCAGAAGTGGCTTGACCATGGGAATACGGCTATTGTAGCCCATTCCCTGTCACGTCTGTGAACAGTCATTTTGATACCTGGACTCCAGCTTCAGTCCACTGTCTTTGAAGCTCCCCCAAATTCTGGAAGCGACTCTTCTTCACAATGCTGTTAAGGCTGCGGTCATCTCTCTTGGTTGTGCAGCGTTTCCTGCCACATTTCCCCCTTCCAACAGACTTTTTGTGGATGTGCTTTGAAACTGCACTCTGTGAACAGCTTGCTCTTTGAGAAATTTCTTTTTGTGTCTTACCCTCCTGATGGAGGGTGTCAATGACGGTCCTCTGGACAGCAGTCAGATCAGCAGTCTTCCCCATACTTGTGATTTAGTTTACTGAACCAAGCTGAGTGTTTTTCAAGGCTCAGGAAACCCTTGCAGGTGTTTCGAGTTAATTAGACGATTCAAGTGATTCGTTGAACACCCTACTAGTATACTTTTTCATGATATTCTAATATTTAGAGATAGGATATTTGAGTTTTCTTAAGCTGTATGCCATAATCAGCAATATTAAAATAATAAAAGGCTTGCAATATTTCAGTTGATTTGTAATGAATCCAGAATGTATGACATTTTTGTTTTTTTAATTGCATTACAGAAAATAAAGAACTTTATCACAATATTCTAATTTTCTGAGACAGTCCTGTATATTCAGGTTTGGGGGGGGGGTACCGGATTACATGTAACGAGATTACGTAATCAGGAAACCAAGAAAGGTAACTGTTTCTGATTACAATTACGCAAAGAAAAGAAAGTGATGCAGTAGGTGGACACCTGATTTATTAAACAAAAAAATCAGTCTATGCTTTTGATTACTGTAGTAATTAGTTTGTAAACTATTACTTTGACTACATTTTTATATATTATCTTAAATACATTAAAACATGTTATTATTATTTAATTTCTCCTGTTTTATTTGCATTGCATTTGATATTGAGGTAATCCAAAAGTAACAAAGTAATCAGGTTACATTACTTCTATTTTGATACTTAGGTTACTGATAAATGTTTTTGAAGTGTAACTAATTATTGTAACTCAAGGTTCAAGGTTCTTTATTTGTCAAACGAACATAGCTACAGTGTAGTTATGTCCATGAAAATCTTGTGTCACAGGCAAATGATTACATTTTTAAAGTAACCCTCCCAACCCCAATTAATGTTTGTAGAATATAAAATGTTGTGTTGGCATCGTATGGAGTGACACACAGGAGAGCTCCATGTCATAGCACAGCAGCCCAAACCAGCAAAGCAGAGCCAGCTGCACCCGGTCACCATGGAAACCCGGGGCTCCAGTGATACCTGTGATGACGATCTTGGGGACATCCAGAATGGTGCCGTATGATGCCGTTTTACGATGGCCTCGTTTAAACTGCGGACGTGCTGCGGAAAACACACATACACACATACAGCTGCGAACACAACGAGCATGCAGACTGACACAGACTAGGGGGCCACAGCTGGACCGGACATATGGGCCCCTCTCATGCAGAGCATACAAGGGCAGCATGCTCTCCGTCCCTTCCCGGCGCCGTGGAGTGTTACTGCTTACACCACCAGCAGCCACCACAATACCTTCTGAGCCCAAACAGCAGCAGGCATAGGGCTATGCTGCTGTTTGGGTTCAAAGTTCGACACTGCAATCTAAGGACTGAAGGTGTTGATGGTGGAATACAGTAACGTTATTCATTTATAGCCTAGTTGTCAGCTCATAGAGTATTATTGTGAACCCGGATATGTTGAGTACACCAACGTTTTGTGATAGAAATATATAGTGAGGGTCCCCAGCACATGGAAACTGCAGGATGCTAACTTGCATATGTTGGCCAATTTGCACAGTTAGCATAAGTTGTGTTCATTAGCATATGCAGACAATAGTTACAAAATGGCTTGGCTGATTTGGACAATTTTGGTGTGGTTTTTAAGGTTATTGAGGAAGTTGAATCAATTTCTGACCATTGCAGGATCAAGAATGGCAGTTATGAGTCCCCTAGAACTTCAGAACAATTTCTTTGCTATTGTCTGCATATATGAATTAATGATAATTAACGCAACTTATAATAATTGTGCAAATTGCCCAACATATGCAATTTAGCATCCGGCAGTTTCTATGTGCTGAGGGCACATACTACACATTTCTAACTTTGGTGTACACAAGAGGAATCTATGAGCTGGTAACTAGACCATTAAGTTACAGTACAGCAGAAAAATAAAAAAGGCAACAAACAAAAAGACCTGACATGGAGTGCCATTGTAGCAGAGTGGTTACAGCACATGCCACATAACTGCATGTCCCTGTTCTAGACTTGAGACCTTTCCTTTCTATTTTGTCTCTACACTGGCCAAACAATAGTAAAAGAATAACATTAAAATAGACAAAAAGGAACCTGACATTTATGTATGCTTAAATCAAATCAAACTACATGCTTAGAGCTCCTGAGGTTTAATTTCAGTGGCACTATTGAGCTTGCTGTTTCTGTCAGAACATTCCAATACGTGGAGATGGTTGACAGAAGGATCTGATGGGCCTTCTTAGTGTACAAGGTCAAATCTGTGTTTCTGTGAGGAATCCATTTCCACCTCTAAGTGATGAACGCACATAAGAGTAAAACTGACAGGGAAGGAGCTTCTGGTGGACTTGGAGAGGCCTCATTCCAATAAGACTTGCACTGACAATACCGCAGCATGCCTTTCCTGAACAATTTGCTTCTTTCAAAATCTGGTAGGAGCATGCTAATTTGCTTTGATGCGCTCTTGTTCCTGTTGTCTTGTGCTGTGTGACGTCAGGCATTACCTGCAGGTGCAAATGGCAGCTTGGGCTCCAGCTCCGACAGGTCAGCGCTCATTCTCTTGCTGTCAGATGATGTCAGGCACTGTGTCCGTGCAGGCAGACTCTCCACACTGCCCCCCCTCGACAGAGGCAGAGACCTCAACGGGTCTGCCTAAGAGAACAAGAGGAAAATCTCACTACAGAAGCTTGGTTTGACAATATTTGCTTCTTGTGCAGCTAAATGACGGATAACTGTGAAACTGAAATGAATTTATTATGTGTAGTATTGGTTTACCTTTGGCTTGAAGTAAGGAGCAAACTGAGGCATGATCTTGATAGTATCGTTACTCCCTTGGGAATCACTGTGCTCCATGTTTGCGTCACTTACGTTGCTGGTGCCAGTGTTGTCCACATAGGAACCTGTTGTTCCCCAGGAAACAGGACGTGTCTTTCATCAAAGATTTACAATGCATTTTCTTTGATGGTTCACAACACTGTAAAGCTACCCAAAGCTTAAAATCATAGACATGGCTATTTCAGACATGATACAATTATTGGGTGCTGGAAGAAAATAAAAAAACGATTTCAAGATTTTATAATAATGATGCTTTCCAGGAGACTAGCACCAGTAAATGTTCCTTCTATATCCTTCTGTGCTGATACATGCTGGCTTTTGAGGATGACTCTTGTACCTGTACTGGTAGCAGAGTTGCTCTGTCCGTCATCTGAATACTGGTATGGATACTGCAGCGGTTCATCATATCCAGGGAAGTACTGCCAAGAAAAAAATGTATTGAAGAAAGAGTGAGCTTGGTTGGATTGAACATCTTTCTACCCAAGCTGTGCATGAAAGAGTTAAGTCAAGTCAAACATAATCCATAATAATAACTTCAGTTCCCAGTATATTAGGTACATCAAGCTAAAATGACTGCCATATAATAGAGCTGTGCAGTGATGATGTATTGTGTAGGCCCAACAGGACGTTAGCATCGTAAGGGTTGAGAAAATAGGATGTGGCACAAGTTAATGACACTTAAACATTTCAGTCAGCATGATAATCTCCACTTATCAACTCCACTTTTATTTTTCTTGAAATGTAAATGCAATAACAGAAGTCAAAAGCTAACGTTAGGCTATAAACAGCACAGTCACATGGCTGCACATCACCACCGCTAAGCTAACGGTGGCTTAAGTTCGGTGTGATGGATGATGTTTAGTATTCTCATATAGCCACTTATCAGCAAGTGGTCAAATGCAAACTCATGTGTTTACCCGTGCATCATTACATGTAACAGTCCTGCAATAAGAAATCCTTTCATGCATGTAGCTTCTAATGTTTAGTATTGTTGAAACTGAGATGGGTTGATTCGAATGTATGGTCTTTTAAGAGGAGCGGTTTGTAGTGCTTTGGAATTGCATTTTCAATGTTTCTATTGCGCTGTCCATCCTAATTATATATTTGTTTCCTTCTTTTTGGGGGATGGGGGGGTTTGTACAAAATCTTTGCAATTATTTTAATGTATTTAGTGATATAACAATCACAGGAAAAGTGCATTCAAGTACAGTGTCATAAATACACACAAGAGAGTAACGAGTATTCCCAAGTGAAGACGAATAACTAAATACACATTTTGTTGTGTAGAATAACAAAATAATATATAGTTTTGTTATACATAATAGTCAATTATTGTAAATATAGATGGAAAAAATGTAATCTTGTAAATACAAAAATATACAATAAAAGTAATAATAATAATAATAATAATAATAATAAGTCATAAAGATAATAATACTACTAATAATAATAAAAATGATGATAATAATAATAACAGAAACCCATGGATGGAAGTGGATAGTAGTTGGGTATGCTCACTGGTTTGTGCATTGACTGTATGTAGAAGGTCAGGGGGGAGGGGAAATTCCTGATGATATCTTGATTGTAACCTAAATATCATAACACTTCTATTTGAAAGGCAATACATTCAAACTTTTCCTGTCATGTTACATTCTGCTCTCTGAGATGTAAGTACCGTAATTTAAGGACTATAAGCCGCGCCTTTTCCCCTATTTTTCGACGCTGCGGCTTATATAACGGTGCGGCTAATCTATGGATTTTTACAGCTAACGGCCAACACCTTTAACTCTATGGGCTCTATGGCCGGTCCGCGGACCCCCACCTTTAAGCGGCGGGTTCCAGCAGGAAAAGCTGGAGGCCGGAAAAGAGTGAGACAGGTAGCGCGCAAAAGTAAAAGTGGAACCGAGAGTGGTATGCCGCTGCTGCGGCTTATATTCAGGTGCGCCTTATAGTCCGAAAATTACGGTATTTGTTCAAGGTTATTGAATCATTCACTCCAGTTGAATGAAAGCCTTGTAGAGAGGGACAGCGTGTGTGAGGACAGATTACCTTCATTAGATGAGTCATGATCTTCACTATCTCCTCCATGGAAGGCCGCTGAGAGGGGTCTTTAGACCAGCAGCGAGTCATCAGACTCTCAAGGGGCTTGGGTACATTTTGGATTAAAGGAGGTCTTGTGCCTGAATGTTAAAAATAAAAAAGGTAAAGGAACTGCTCAGGAACAGATTACGTTTGGCATCACAGCAGCCAAGCAGAGAAATGTTTGCTAAATCCCCTGTTTCCTCCTGTTAAAGCTATGATGACTCAGACAGGCAGATTCAGAGGTGGATATATTAAACTTGTCCCCAGGTATTATTAGTGTCCCATTAGTATTCTCCTTCATCCATCTCTGAACTACAATCATTTGCAGGGTGTGCTGCAGGTGAACCTGCCTTGTGCACCATTCATGTTCAGTCTCCCAGCAGGCCGAGTGGTCTGACAAGGGTCGTTAAGATTTTAACTTTATCAGTTCTTTATTTAGTTTTTATTCAGGGGGAAACTAAACAAGTGGAAACAATAATTGACATTGCTTTTTTATATTTATTATGTAAAATAAATAACATATATTTTTGTAACAAATCATTATCATGTGATGATTGAAATGCAAAACAAATACAATTGTTATCTTTAATAATTAGCCCCGGGGTCGTTTACTACTGGGGTTTGGTACTCATCCCTTTTGCCGACAGCTGGATATGACCTTTGCATCCTCCAGCTATCCCAAAAACACACACACACACACACATCCAGTTGGTCACTCACCATTGTGCACGGCCCACATAATGCGAAAAGCTGGTCCTCCAATTTCATCGAATGGCTTCCTGCGAGTGATCACTTCCCAGAGAATGATCCCCCAGCTGAACACATCACACTTCTCGCTGTAATTGCTGCCTGCAAGTAGAGAAGAACCCACAGCAACACTTAGGTCCTTTTCAAACAGGGAGAACACGCTGTTTGACATCGCTGACTGACTGATAAAGGCAATTCTCTGTGGCATAATTGAGATGAGATCGAGGATGCGTCTAGGAGGGGATGAGGATGGAAATAGGGGAGCAATTTTACCAAGGAACAGCTCCTGTGTTGCGTAATTACTGGGCCTATTATGGCCAAATTAAAGTGCACATCAAACACCTCTCTTAAAAGTAGCTGCGCTGCACACACTGATGCAAATGAGTTGTTAAGAGTTCACGGTGAGGGCATACGTGAGGTGTTTAATTGCTTGTCTTGTACCTTGCCTCCAAAAAACAAGATAATGCTAAGGGCTAAATTCATCTTTCCTCCATGCCCCCTCGCCAAGAACATGTCTCATCATGTAGAAATACGCTAGGCTCTTGGCTGAATGAGAACACAATTTGTACACGTCCTATCCCGAGGGAAATAAAGCCACCGGCATCTCGCCATTCATCTCCTCACTGTGCTTAGGAGACCACCATCAATAAAACAGTAAAGTGAGATGCAGATGATGGATCAAGAAGATATTCCTCCATTCAGGGAGCACTGAGCTGACATTAAGGTGAAAAGTAGCAAATTAAAAGGTGTGTGTAAGAAAAAGCACTAAGAACAGAGGTGGAAGAAGTATTCAGATGCTTTACTTAAGTAAAAGTCTTGCATTCAAAATCTTACTTAAGTAAAAGTACAGACTATTATCAGCTAAATGTGCTTAAAATAGAAAAAGTACTCATTGTGCAGAAAAATGACCTTTTAGCGTGTATATAATTATATTTATAAATGACATAATTTCTACATAATATTTTTGCATCAAGTAGCATTTTACTGTTGTAGACAAACAAAGCTCTGATTTACTTTTTGTAAAGAATTTAAAGAGTTAGTCCACTAGTTACATTTATAGAGAAGCATTTATTTAAAAGTCCTGTTTGTTAAAGTATATGTTTAATAAATGAAGTGGAGTAAAATTACATTATTTCCCTTCTAAATGTAGTGGAGTAGAAGTATAAAGTAGCATTAAATGGAAATACTCAAGTAAAGTACCTCAAAATGTTACTTAAATATAGTACTTGAGTAAATGTACTTAGTTAATTTTCACCTCTGACAAAGAAATATGCAAGATGGTTATTTGGCCTAAAAGGATTCAGTGAGCATTTATAGAAAGCAACTGGATACTTATGAACACTTTTCAGTTAAAAACAAATAACGGGGCAGGTATCCAAAGAACTACTTGGACTGCCTCTTATACTTGCCTTCAAATACCTCTGGGGCCATCCATGCTGCACTTCCTTTGTTGTTGGTCATGTGGGTCTGAATGTCGCATGCTGTTCCAAAGTCACATATCTTCAACACAGTGCCGCCTGCCACCAGAAGCAGACTGAAAAAAAACAAGAAAAACACCTTATTAGACACTGAAAATGGCAAAAAATTGAAATGATTAATAATAAAAGTAACACTTTCTGAATTGTAAAAGTTAAAACAGTTTCATGAAATTGTTTTAACTTTTGCAATTCAGAAAGTGTTACATACTGGTTATAATGGTGGTTTTAGTTGCTAAACCTTTTCACTTGATACATTTTTGTGTCCTTTAGGGACCTCTTGGAGAAGGGTTTATGACAGTTGGTAAGATAAGATAATATAATGACTCTGCTGTGATTACACATCATTGATAGCTTAATGGTGCCATCCATGTACTTTAAATTGCACAATATATCAGCTTGTTGACACAATCTCATCACAGGACATGGGAATGCAAGTGTAGGACAGGTAGTAAATATGTGGCGATCATTAACAGGAGCATATAAATAAATGATTGGACGATAAACCCTTGTTGACAATTTGTCACAATTTGAGACCTTGTATTTCCTAGAAACTCTGCAGCACTTCTCTAGGAAACAGAACAGCTGGTTGTTCCCAGAGAGTCCGGCCAAGAGCCTTCTCTCCACTAGTCTGTTCTGGGATTCAACCTTTCTTCAGTACCAGCCTGACACTGGGGTTCAAACCAAGCAGCAAACTGCAGGGCAGATCAGTGAAGCCCATAGGGTGGTACCGTTCCTTAGATCACCTCCACGTTAAAAATCAAACCCCTTGGGTGAGCACAGGACTTTGAAGCAATTTTTCTTCATGACCAAATCAGGTATTTAGATAAACGCTATATTTTTCAGAGGTGTTAACTGCATGAAAACAAAAAATGGCAGTTTTGGCTCAGTGAACTTTGGTAACTAAGAACAGTTTTTAGGCTAAGCTATTGGGCTCTTGTTCCCAGTACAAATATCTGAAAAGCCCTTTTCTAAATCATTACATTCTAAAAGTTAAAACAGCTAATAGCCGTAGAGTTCATTTTCCTCCTCCGTTCACATGACTGAGCGGAGCACGGCTAAAAAGCAGGGCCAATTGACCATGAGCCAGAAGATCTCCCTATCATCCAGGTAATTATATCAATCTGTAGTCGAGACATTTTGGCTTCATGCGCCACTAAGCAACTTTCATGGGAAAAATAATGGGGCTCATTTCCAACGCTGTGTGCAGTTCTTTTTCTAAAACAAAACCCCAACTTTACTGCAGAAAAAAACATTTTAGCCTGGTAATAACATTTGGTTTTGTGTCTATACAGTGAGTTCACAATTATTAGGAATTTTATGCATATTTTCCAACTCCAAGCTGTATAAACTTGAATGCGTATTGGATTTAAGAATATTAGGTGATGTGTACTTGTGTAATGAGGGAGGGTGTGGCCTAAGGAGATCAACACCCTACACATGAAGGTGTGCATAATTATTAGGCGGCTCCTTTGTCTCATGCAAAATGGGCCAAAAAAATAGCTTTAACTGACACTGAAAAATCATAAAGGTCTTTAAGAGGGATGCGGCCATCCCATTCAAAGAACCATCAAAGGTTTTGTTGCAAATTACATTACATTTAGCTGACACTTTTATCCAAAGCGACTTACAACAAGTGCATTCGACCAAGAAGATAAAAACTTGAAGAAAACAGAATCA